TGTGTGTGTGTGTGTGTGTGTGTGTGGGTGTTTGTGTGAGAGAGAGTGTGTGTGTGTGTGTGTGTGTGTGTGTGTGTGTGTGTTTCCGATTTGCAGGTTTCTGCTGAAACATTCAGCGAGGGTCGATCAATAGACTCTTATCCTTTGGAGTGTCAAAAACAGAAGTCCAGGCTCAAAGGTCTCTACTGGTTAAATCAGAGAGCAGTTCGCCGAGTCTGGCAAGCGGGAAGTGGATGAGCTTTGCACACATAAGCTTTGAGGGCGCACAGTCAATCCTTGCTATGATCGCAGAAATTGGTTCAGGGAATCCTTCAGAAGTCCAGAGTTTAATTTTGGGTTTACAAACAAACATACAAACAAACATTCTTCTGGACTCTTTTTTTCTTGGAGGGGGTGGTGGGCAGTACAGTTTGAGGTATGGGACACTTAGGGCCCTGCACATAAATTATACTATATTATTTAGGAGAAAACATAAAAGAAAAATCTACTCATGTTTGAGGCATATTTTCTGATTATGTGTGAGTGTGTGAGTGTGTGAGTGTGTGTGTGAGTATGTGGATGTTTGTGTGTGAGTGTGTGTGTGTGTGAGTGTGTGTGAGTGTGTGTGTGTGTATGTTTGTGTGTGAGTGTGTGTGTGTGTGTGTGAGTGTGTGTGAGTGTGTGAGTCTGTGTGTGCATGTGTGTGGATGTTTGTGTGTGAGTGTTGTGTGTATGCACATTGTAAAGGCTGATGTTAATGTGAGGTGTCTTCGTATTTGAGACCGGGCTGACCAGTGACTTCCAGGGCTATGCCCGTCTGCCTCCCAGGCCCTGGGACTACAGACATGTGCCGCCACGCCCAGCCTTTCACACCCGAAGGTCTGAACCTTGGTCTTTGCGCTCAGGTGACAAGCACCTCACCAACTAAGCCATCTCTGCAGCCCCTTTTCAGAATAATTTCAAGTCCTTCAATTAGGAAACTGTGGGTATGACATGGAGTCTCAGAAAACAGTGGCAGCCGGGAGGCAGAGGAGGGCGGCTCTCCAGGGGTTCGAGGCCAGCCTGGTCTACAGAGTGAGTTAGTTTCAGGACAAGCTGTAGTGACACAGAGAAACCCTGTCTGGAAAAACCAAAACAAAGCAGAATGAAAAAGAAAGTGTCATGTTCATTGCGATTCGATGACTAATTTTCTTTTTCTTTTTGACAGTCAACATGGAGAAGAAACAGAGACTGCCACGCTCCTCTGGAGGAGAAGAAAGATGTTCACAGATGCCTCTCATGCTAGACCAGCCTCCAAGAATAGGAGTGGGGGGGGGGTGCACAGGCGTGGACCGCAGCTTTGCTCTAGCTTAAGAACAAGTGGGGCACTGGGAAGGCAGCGCAGCAGTTAAGAGCACAGTTTGACCTTCCAGAGGACCCAAGTTCGATTCCCAGCACCCACATGGTGGCTCACAAAACAGAACAGAAACAACCAGACAAACAGTAAACAAAGCCATGCCACAGAGCACTGAAACCAAGATCTTAGTAAAGCTGCATGATGTGCTCACTTTTAATGGCAGGCAGTCAGGCGGAGCTCTGTGAACTGTAGGCCGGCCTATTCTGCCCAGTGACCAGGTTACTAAATGGGTTATGTTCTACTATCTAGTTATTTTTAAATTGATTTTGGTGGTGAGAATAGAACTCAGGGCCCTGTACGTGCCAAGTTCATATATGCCTGCAATGACATCCCAGCCTGGGGTTGTTCATTTTAACTTAGTAAAAATGAACTCACATCTTTTGAACAAAAAAATTCCCAATAAACCCCACCTTGTGGCGCATGGTAGAGCACACCGGTAGTCCCAGCACAAGAGTGGCTTAGGCAGTGGGATCCGGAGTTCAAGGTCAGCTGCAGCAGCCTATTGTCCTTGCCAGAGTATTTTCTTAGTGGCCACACCCTTTGGGCATGGCTTCGGGTATGGACGGAACTGGGTGGGAGGGAAGCGTGGGGTGGTCTCTCAATTGAGCACTGGGATTTCAGATTGCCTCGGAAGGGCAGAGACCGCACCTTCTGGAGCAGGAAGTCCTAGAGCTCTTTACTATTATGTGTGTCAGTGTTCCCCAATACAACACCATTTATCATTTATCTTGGGTCTAGTGAACTCATTACAACCCCTGCCTTCAACACCCTGTCTCAAAAACCTCCCAAACAAAACAAATAGAAAGTGATCATTAAAAAAAAAAAATACCATGGTGCTCATAGGAAACAGTTTTTAAGTTGAGCTTTAAATCTGGTGAGTTCAAGGGGACAGACACACTGTGCTGGAGGCCTCAACTGAGAAAATGCTGCCATAAGACCAGGCTATAGGCAAACCTGTGGGGCATTTTCTTAATTAATGATGGATTCGGGAAAGGCCCAAACCTGTGGGTGGTAGTCCTTGGTGTATAGGAAAGCAGGCTGAGCAAGCCCTGAGGAGCACGCCAGTGAGCAGCTCCCCTCCATGGCCTCTGCTCCAGTTCCTGCCTCCAGGTTCCTGCCCTGTTTGAGCTCCTGTCCTGTCTTCCCTCAGTGATGGACTACAATGTAAAAGCAGAAGCCAAATAAACCCTTTCCTCCCCAATTTGCCTTTGGTCCTGGAGTTTCGTGTCAATAGTAACCCTAACTAAGACAGATACCACAGTGATTTGAATGAGATGTCCCCCAGAGTCTCAGGCATTTGAACACCTGGTGCTTTAGCTGGTGGCCCTGTCTGAGGAGGCTCAGGAGGTGTGGCCTTGCTGGAGGAAGTGTGTTGTCACTGGGGTGGGCTTTGAGGGTTTAAGGCCTCACCCCACTCCCAGTTTGATCTCTCTGTTTCCTTGCTTGGCCCACCATCATGGACTCTAAGCCTCTGGAACCATGAGCCCAAATAAACGTCTCTGAATTGCTTTGGCCATGTTGCTCTGTCTCGGCAACAGAAAAATAAGTAATACAGACGTGTCGTGAAAGGGAAGAGAAATGAATAATTAAAACCAACGAAGCCAAGTGTGGCCCTTGCTAGGTCAATCACGACTCAGTGACTCAAGTATGCTTTAACTATTTCTAATTAAAAGTTCAAAGCCATAAATACCATGAACGTATCTCCAATACCACAAATACATTTCAAAATGGATTAAATCCCACTTATTAACTTACCTTAATAACGTTGTTGAGAAAAAGTGTCAAACAGAAAACCAGAAGTAAATGCAACAAGAGTTTGCCGACCCTAGTCAGGAAGGTCCCAGTTTTTAGGTTTTTCTAGAAATTGAAAGAATTGTGTTTTAATTTTTAATGAATATTTAAATAAATTTTAATGTCAACTATAATTTCATGATCACTTGAGATTAGCTCAAGATTTAAGATGTCGGCTCACGCCACACACACAGAAACATGTGGAGAACAAACCTGACTTCATGGGGTCTCTTTTTCTTTTAGTAATTTTACATGGGATATGAAAAGGGGGGAATATAATAGTTAAAGTCTAAGTAGGGACGAGGGGATGAGAGGTGTGGAGGGCTGTAGAGAAGACACCAAGGATACATGAAAAAGCCTTTTGGGAACCTACTGGTTTGCAAGGTAATTTAAACTGCAATTAAATAAAGAGGGACTGTGAGCAGAGGCCACCTGCACGGGTGAACAAGGTTGTCCCTATAAGACACAGGTCATTAAAAGAAAAGCCTGGTGTGAGTGCCTGGGAGAGCTCCCTGGAAGTCACTGGACAGGAAGGCCCCGGCACAGCAGACCCTAAGACAACACAAATTCTTGGCTGCCCACTGTAATGACATTATTGGGGAGTTGCTGAGGATGGCAGAGGGTGGGGGTGGGGTGGGGAAAACCAGTTGGAGATGTAACCTACTGATTTCTGATTACATGAGGTTGATGCCCCAGGAGGGAATTCATGCCTGCTTCTGTAAACTTAATCAAGAGCGCATGGCC